GGAAAAGCTAAAGGAGTTCATCACCACCAAACCAGTATTATATGAAATGCTGAAAGGTATCCTTTAAGAAGAGTAAAAGGAAGAAAAAGGTAAAGATACAAATTATGAACAACAAATACACATTTATCAACAAGTGAATCTAAAAATCAAGGGAATAAATAATCTGATGAACAGAATAAACTGGTGAATATAATAGAATCAGGGGCATAGAAAGGGAGTGGACTGGCTATTCTTGGCAGGGACAGGGGTGAGGGGGATGCAGGAAGAGACTGAACAAAAATCGTGTACCAATGGATGAGGACAGCGGGGGGAGGTGAGGGCAGAGGGTACGGGGGGATGGGTGGAGGGGAGCTATGGGGGGGAAAAAGAGGAACAACTGTAATAATCTGAACAATAAAGATGTAATAAAAAAAGAAATATGAATAAAAAACAAGATCAAAAAAATAAATAAAAACATGAAATACTTAGGAATAAGTCTTACAAAATATGTAAAAGATCTGTATGAATATAATTACAAAACTCTGATTAAAGAATTCAAAGAACTAAATAAATGTAAAAATAGCTTCCTTCTTCTTTTCTTCCTTAAATCAGGGAAGAACCCAAACGGGGGTGTTTTAATTAGTCGTTTACTAGCTGGTGTCTACAGGACACATGCATCCAACACTGTCACCGCCCTTGCCCACCCTTCACCTCTCCCAGCTCCTCCCTTCCCATAATGCCAAACTGCAGTTGAAAAATTATATTAAAATAAATAAATAAATAAATAAAATGGAAAGATATTCCATGTTCATGGATAGGGAGACTTCGTATTGTCAAAATGTCAAATCTTCCCAACGTGATTTCTAGATTTAATGACGTTCCGATAAAAGTCCCAGCAAAGTTATTTTGTAGATAATGACAAAGTGACTCCAAAGTTTATATTCAGAGAAAAAAGACCCAGAATAGCCAACATAATATTGAAGAATAAAGTTAGAAGACTGACACTACCTAACTTTAAGGCTTACTGTAAAGCTACAGTAATCAAGGCAGTGTGGTATTGATGAAGGAATGGACAAACTGATCACTAGAACAAAATAAAGGACCCATAATTAGACCCACATAAACATAGTAAAATGACCTTTCACAAAGGAGCAAAGGCAATACAATGAAGCAAAGACAGTCTTTTCAACAAACAGTGCTAGAACTGGACATTCCATGGAAAAAAAATAAAGACTCTAGACACAGACCTTACACCCTTCATTCAAAAATTAATTATAAATGGATCACAGACCTAAATGTAAAATTCAAAAATATAAAATTCCTAGAAAATATAGAAGAAAACCTAGATGACCTTGGGTATGGCAATGACATTTTAGATACAATACCAAAGACACAATCCAAGAAAAAGAAACTGATAAGCTGGACGTCATTAACATTAAAAACTTCTGCTCTGTGAAAGACAAGGTCAAGCAAATGAGAATACAAGCCGTAGACTGGAAGAAAATAACAAAATATACCATTCTATCCAGCAATCACAGTCCTTAGTATTTATCCTAAAGAGATGAAATTCTTTGTCCACACAAAAACCTGTCCACAGATGTTTATAGTAGCTTTCTTCATAATTGCTCAAACTAGGAAGGAACCAAGATGTCCTACAGTGGATAAACTGTGGTGCACCCAAAGAAATGAGCTATGAAGCCATGAAAAGACATGGAGGAAACTTAAATGCACATCGCTAAGTGAAAGAAGCCAATCTGAAAAAGCTACATTCCAATTGTATGACATTCTGGAAAAAGCAAAACTGCCAAATCAGTGAAAAGATCAGTGGTTGTCAGGGATTAGGGAGGAAGTAAGGATGAATAATTGGAACATAATCCACTTTAGATCACTCTTGATAGAAGTAATACTCTCTCCCTCCTCCTTAACCAAAGCCAACACTTTTTTTTTTTTTATCCAGTCTTTTTTTTTTATCCAGTGCAGATTTATTTGAACAGGCATGTGGTTCTAATTTCTCTATGCTGATTTTTTTAAAAAACCTTTAACCCAACAACATAAGGCTTTCTCATTAGAATGCAGTGGAATGTGGCAGCAAAGGCACTTCCACCGACTGGCCTTCTTGCCTCAGTTTCCTCACCTGTGAGAGGCCAGCACACTTGTAAACAAGGTGGCTCACACAAGTGATGTGTTAGAGATGCCGCTATAGGAGTTTAGCCCACTGGGACTGGACATTCAATGTGTTATTAATTTCTCATGACTATGGATGATGCTATATTTAAGATTATTTGGGAGATGGCATTTCAGAAGTGGGATGACTGGTCAAAGGAATAGGTAAACAGTTATAACATTGTTTTCCAAGACACACAACTGCTGGGGTGTGCCCAGACCATGGGGGGAATCAGGAAGGCACAGAAGGGCCAGAGCAGCATGTACACTAGGCGGCTGTTTGACTTGGGGGAGAGAAGAGCTGTCTCACACCTAACCCCACATGAAGATCAAACAGTCGGTGTGGAATGAATCTGACCAGGCCCAAATACCCAATCATCTCCCATTCATTCCTCCCCAGTGCGTGGAGTGCCAGCTGTGGTCCCTCAGCAGCTCACCTTCAGCCACTTCTCCCCAGGGTCCATTCTCATCCTAGGCACTCCCCCACAGCTATCCTCGACCCCTCAGCAGCCCTCTGCAAACCTTCTCTGCCTCAACCCTCAGCCTGGAATGATTGATCACCCTCTATGATTCTGGTCAGTGATCTTGGAAGCACAGTTAGCCCCATCACTCTCTATGCAGACCCTCCAAAGACTCTCAATGAACACCTGAGCCTCCTGGGACCTGGCCCTGACGGGCTCCACAGCTTGTCTGCACGGAATGTCAATGTTCACCCTGCACTCCAGCCGCACTGGCACAGTGCCCGGCATATCAACTGCTTCACTCCCGTGCAGTGGTCACCCTCCTCCTGCCTACCACCCACTCTTGCTTCCTTCCTCCTGAGCGCCTGATGGTGTCTCTGAATCAACCAGCCCAGGTGCCTGCTGCTCCCGCACTTTTTGTTATAGTCGCCATCACATCTCCTCACTTCACTGGGTGGGGACTTGTGGCCAAAAGTGACCTCACAGATGCATCACCCCATGATGGATTCAGTGTCCACCTCACCAGCCTCTGCCAGTACGACCCTGCAACAGCAACTGCGCCCCCCCCCCCCAAACTCCCCTGGCAAAGATGAGGTGCTAAATCCCACCAATGAATGAGTGAGTGGGTTAACAGACCTAGCCTGAAGGGCTGGGGTGTGACTTCATGGCTGGGGACAGTAGGGGGGTCAGGATGCTTGTCCCATCCTGTCCATGGAACCTGCACACAGGCTAGGGACTCCCACTCCTCAGAGCCTGAGGTACCACACTCCTGCTTTCTTGCTGTTCCCCTCGTTGTAAAGATGAGACCCTAAGAATACACACAATGAGCAACACAGTTTTGTGAGGTTTTGCTAGAGGGCCTGGCCTGGCCCCACCTTGGGGCCACTGTCTCTGTTACAAAGGGAGCCAGGCAAGTGCTAGAGACTTTCTCAATGAGGCACCTGGAAAAACATAAGGCCTCAAAGTCCCTGCCACACCTGCCTCAGAGACAACTCCAGGCAGTGGTGTGCACTCGGGGAGTAGATACAGGGAGGCAAGGCTGGGCTCTGGGGCCAGAAATTCCTAGAACTGAGTCCCGGCCCTGCCAGCTTCTCGCCACGGACTCTGGCCTGTCTTAGGACCACCAAGCCTGTGACCAGGCTGAGGGGTCAACTCTCTGGTGGGTCCCTCCTTACCTGAATGCCTGGTTCTCACGATTGTTTTGGAGGGCGATGGTTTCCACCTCAGGACCCCCATCCGCTATGAACCTGGCCAACTTTTCTGCAAGGTTCTTGACCTCTTCGTCCTCTGGGGGTGAAACTTTAAGCAGGCTGTCAGTACTGAGCTCAACTCACCACACCCAACAGCCTAATTTCTGCTAAAACCCCATGGGCAACAAGAGGGGTTTATTTTAGAAACAATGCAAAGAGAAACAGGCAAATGGGAATCAGATTATTACACTGAGACCAAACAGTTAATACTACAACTTATTCTGAGCCCTGCTCCCTACCCCTTCCCACCCACTGGTCTTGGGGGGCCTGGGACATGGCAGCATAATATAAGGGAAGGTTTGTGTCAGGCCCAGAGGGAAGACAGGAGCCCCCATCTTGGTCTTTCTATAGGGGGCTGCCCAGCCAGGTCACATGGGGAGGTAAGCGTGGCCCTCCTCCTGGGGAGGTCAGTGCAAAGGCAAAGGGCACGAGACACGCCAGACCAACCTCTGTGGCCCATGTCAGGCCTAAACATCAATTCCTCTCACCCACCAGCACTAGCTGGGATACTCATTAAAGCTGGAGACCATCCAACCTCTTCCCCATCCACTGACACTCATCCCATCAGATGTCACCAGTTGACTGTTTCTGCCCCCTCGGCCCCCCTCCTAAGTGTCAGACACTACATTTGTTTCTACGGTTGGTAGGCATTCATTAACAGTTGTTAAAATGACCATGAACCAATAGGCTAGCACAGCAGTCGGCAACCTTTTGGACCGCACAGACCACCAGTGGTCCATGGACCACCGGTTGACGACCGCTGGGCTAGCACACCTTCCCTGAGCTCCTGAATACAACCTTGACCTTGGTCCTCAGACCTCCCCCCTCCTCAGAGCACTGGTGAAAAGGGTGGCACTAGCCCTAGCTTGACCCTGGCTGCCAGGGAGGGCACAAACCAAGGACATCAGCGCTACCCCATGCCATGGCACCCTGTAGGAACCCTTATTTCACCTGGGGAGCAATTTGTCCACGCACCTCCCCAGAACCTCCCACCCCCTTCTACCCACCTACCTTTCTGAGAGGTTGTCTGCAACTTCTGTGATTCCTTCCTTATCTCAGCCACCTTCTTTCTGTAGTAAAGGAATTCCCTGCTATTCTTATCATGCAGAAACCTGAAGAAGTGTTTTGCAAAACAGAAAGGAAGATGAGTAACGAGGACGGGTAGACTTGTGCAGCATCTGAAGACAAGTTATGCAAAAGCAAGCTGACAAGCACAGATGCCTTGACAGAGCCCAAAATTAAGTCTCCGCATCACATTGGAGACTTTTTGCAACCTTTGGTGTAAGTTATAAAGTGCTTGGAACAGCATCTGGCCCACACAAGCAAGCACCCAGCCCCAGCCAGCCTCAGTCACCACAAGAATTTTACAAAAATGTCTGCACATACTACTGTGTGGCAAGAACATTAAGTACCAGTGACCTTCCCCTCCCAAAAATACTTACGAAAACGCTGGGTTATCCTTGTAGTTCTCCATAGCTACTTTTTCTAACTCGGGGCCTCCTTCTGCCACAAAGCGGGCCAATTTCTCTATCACTTTCCGAGTCTCGACTCCCTCTGGGGGTGAAACTTTAAGGAGGCTGTCAGTACTGGGGTTCAACTCACACACCCCACAGTCAACAGGCACACTCTCTCTACGGACCACAAGGACAAAGGGGTAGGGGAAGAAGAGGGTGAAATGCAGGAGGTTGTCAGGTGTCCCGGGTCCATGCACAAAGCACCGTGACGAGAGGGGAGTTGGTCTAAACAGTTTTCACGAGACACACTGGGTGGGAGAGAAGTGTGCGACCCTCTCAGAGGCTGAGCCGATCCATAGGCTGGAAGGGAGACGTTTGAAAACATAGCCAGCCTCTCCCCAACCCCGCCCTTTATTTTAAATGCTTAAGTCTTTTCTTTATTTACCAGCATTAAGTATAATAAATTGGTCCCCTTCCATCCTTCAAAGATGAAAAATTCTTTTAAAATAGCATTACAAACTCTGATTTAAACACATTGGGTGGGTTTCAATCCACTGCAATTAATGTCATCACAGAGGCTCAATCGTCCCCTCTGTGGCTGGTGGAGCTCTTCAAGCTGGGTAGTGAGGCCTTTGGACATGGCCCCCGTGTCTTGATGGCCTCCTCACTATCTGCTGGAACAGCGTGCTCCAGGTCATCTGGTACACTTCCTGCCCAGCCTAGAGCCAGCCATTCTTCCAAGAAGTCCTGGTTTTTGTGAGTGAGAAAATGTTTCCAGACCACCATCTGGGTGCTAAGGATGCTCACTGCCACGAACTTAATCATTACCTCAGCTTTTTCAGGGAACAGAGGTATAAAAATACATTTTTGTGTTTGCATTAGCCTCCCCTTTGAGCCATGTGGAACTTGCTTTTGTCTTTTTTGCTGGAATTTTTTGGAGGGCATCTGTCAGCCAATATACAGTCCTATCCCCTTTATGAGAACTCCCAAGGGGAAGTTCTCGCTGTCAGTCAGCGCCTGGGAACGTTTGCTCCTTTCGGCAATGGGGCTAGACCAGGGGTGGGCAAACTTTTTGACTCGAGGGCCACAATGGGTTCTTAAACTGGACCGGAGGGCCGGAACAAAAGCATGGATGGAGTGTTTGTGTGAACTAATATAAATTCAAAGTAAACATCATTACATAAAAGGGTACGGTCTTTTTTTTCAATAGTTTTATTCATTTCAAACGGCCGGATCCGGCCCGCGGACCATAGTTTGCCCACGACTGGGCTAGACACTGAGCCTGTGGCCAATCTTGTTCCTCCCCTTGCTTGGCTGCCAAGAAGCTGGGGGGAGGGGAAGAAACATGTGATCGCACCCTCCTCCTGCATACCTGACGATGACCCTGACCTGGCTGCCATTTACAAGCACAGGTGCTCTTCTGAGGCCTCCTCAACTGCAGGTCTCAACAGGCCTCAAGGGCCTTGGGACACCCACTGCCTCTTGTAAAGCGGAGGTTCATGGCAGGGTACAGTCAGAACTGCCAGGGCACCTCTCGAAGGAAACACCATCCTCTCAGGCTCTGTACTAATGTTCCAGACTTCAAGGTTCGCCACTGATCTGCTCAGATGTATGGTCTGAAGCTGGCATCCTCATCCCAGAGGCAGACCATACAGTCACTTCAGTCTGTACTCAATCAGGATAACATGACTGAGCCAGCCAGCCTGGACAGAAGTAGCCTAAGACTCCAAATAGCTCAGGTGGCACTGAAGCCTTGTTCTGAATATAGATAGATAGGGCTAGAAGTATTAGAAGTGCCACCACTGCCACCCTCTGCCCTCCTACACCTTGGGGCCTAGACTAACTCACCCAAGGCCAATAACTGTCCTTCCCCAGGCAAAAAAATGAACTCTTCAACCTGCAGGCTCATACCTCTGGCTCAGACTGGCAGGGACAGGAGCTGCATTAAGAAATGGGCTTCTGGGCCTCAGAGGGCTCGGAGGGCATGCACCCAGATTGGGGAGCCATGGAAGGTCCTCCTCATGTTGGGAGGAAAGTGCAAGTGAACACTCAATGAGGATACCCCTGCCTTGGCTGGAGGCCAGGCCCCAGAGTAGATGATGGGTCCCACAGCTCCCAGGATGAAGCCCACACTGCAGCCCCTCCTCACACCCTTCCTTTAACTGCACCCCCTTACCCCAGCAGCCTCACCTGACTGAAGTCCCAAGTACCCCATACTCCTGGCCATGCTTTCCCTGCTGACTGTGGATCTGCCCCGGAGCTGGAAAGCGGTGGTAGAAGGAGGGCGGCAGCCCCCGCACCTTACCTTTGATCTCCAGCCACTGCTCATAGTCTTCCTCTTCGTCCTCATCAGGAGATTGGAAGACACTAGGGCGGCTGGCCAGGGGCAGCTGCTTAGCGTGCACATAGTTCTTCACCTGGTTCAGTGGGCTGCTGATGAGGGGAGGCCTCTTCCCAGCACGGGGGAGTACTCGAGGTGGGGCGCTGGGCACGCTGGGGGGAGCATCTTGGGAGAGAAGGACATATACTTGTGCTCAAGCTCTGCAGTGCACCTTTCCCTATCTGCCCACCTAACCTGAGTGCTGTCGGTCCCTGGGGACTGGGGTCCTCAGCTTCCAGCACAGCACCTGGTGGGTGGTGGGTGCTCAGAGACGACACCACCCCATTTTACAGATGAGGACATCAAGGTTCACAGATACATGACTTTTTGGTTATCTAGATATGACCTGAATCCCACATCCAACTTACAACCATTCCCTCTGGTTGTCAGTGGTAAGCTGGAACAAGCCTATTCTGGGCTTTTCAAACACAGCTCATAACCGGTGACCCTGCGATAAAGACGAGCCTGTTCTTCCTCTCCGTGGGTGAATTTGGCCTAAACTTTTTTTTAGCTGTTACCTAGGAAACCTGACAAAGGTCAAAGGTCATCTGTTTTCACCATTAACTTCCTTTTATTTTTATTTCTTTACCATTAAGTTTTTTAAAGTAAAAATAAACTCTGACTGGTAAATTGCACAACCACAGTTATGGGTGGGCTCCCCAAGGGCTCACACCTGGCATGTCTCATGGATTCCTATGAAAGGGGGCCCCATTCCTCACACTTGAGCTGCCGCTCTGACCACAGCCATGGTCTCACAGCCCTGGGCCTGCTTAGTCCTGGTCCCCATGCTCCTGGACTGAAACCTGGGTTGTCTCTGCTCTTACAAGGTAAGCACCTTGAGAGCAGGTTCCATGCTTTCTTCCTGGGTGTTTAGTGTGGAAATGAGTGAAATGGGTGCTCAATAAACTCGGGATGAGAAGAACAAATCTGAGGCAGAACCTGCCATTTCTAGGAAGCCAGGGATCCCCGGGAGGAGAGAGCAGGCAGCATGAACATGAGCCCGAGCCTGAATAGGAGGAGATGGGATGGGGAAACTGCACTTACCTGTGCTAGTCTGCGCCTTCTGCAACTTCAGAAACTGCTGCAAGAAGCTGCCGTCATTGGCAAACTTGTTGGAAGCAGAAGAGTTGTGTGTGTTTGCAATTCTAGACCCAAGACAGAATACAGAGAGGGTGAACTTCTAATGGAGGGGCTGGGGCATGCCTTGCCTGTCTCAGCTCCACACCCACCCAAGTTCTTACCTGGTGAAACCCAAAACCCACCCCCAGATGTGTCTTGGGGACTGCTGAGTACAGAGCTACCTTCAGAGTTGTAAGGTGGGAACAACCTTATTCTAGTCAAAGCAATGCTACACATATTGATGTCAACTCTATCAGACTATTGACCCTCCCACTCCAAATAGCCTCCTCAACTCAGAACCACTGGCTCTCCTGCCGCACCAACTCCTATCCTACCTGGTGTAAACAAATTATCTGAGCTGCTACTGGGTACCATGTCTGTCTTCTCAGCTAGACTTTAGAATTATCTAAAACAGTGCATGTGTATGCGTTTTTACTGTGTGTGACTGCATTTCTGGGCCTGGATCGGCCAGCACTTCTGTGAGGATTACACATATACAGGAAAACACCCAAAGCAATCTCTTGGTGTGAGAATTACAGGGGGATTATATATTATATATTTTTATTTTCTCTCTCTTTTTGCAAATAGTATGTTTTACTCTAAAAAAAATTTTTTTAATCTTTTATTTTTTTAAAAAAATCTGTTTTAATTGATTTTTACAGAGGAAGTAAGAGGTACAGAGAAATAGAAACATCAATGTGAGAGAAACATCAATTGGCTGCCTTCTGTAGGTCACCCACGGGGGATTGAGCAACCCGGGCATGTGCCCTGATTGGGAATTGAACCGGAGATTCACAATCAAACTGGAGATTCACAATCAAACTGGCAACTTCTTGGTTCCTGGGTCGATGCTCAACTGCTGAGCCACACTGGCCGGGCTTAAATCTGTTTTTAAAAAATTAGCACAAGCCCAGCCAGTGTTGATCAGTGGTTGAGCACTGTACCATGCTCCAAGAGGTCGCCAGTTCAATTCAGGGTCAGGGCACATGCCTGGGTTGCTGGCTCGATCCCCAGCAGGGGGCATGCAGGAGGCAGCCAACTAATGCTGATATTTCTCTTTTATCCATGTTTCTGACTCTCTCTCCCTCTCCCTTCCTCTCTCTCCAGAAAAATAAATAAAAACATATTTTTTAAAAACATATAAAAATCAGTACAAAAGCAAAACCAGGGGCCTGAATGCTTAATTCAAATTCATTTTTCCCTATCATAAAAGTATTAGAGCTCATTATAAACAAACAAGAATGTAGAAAAATTAAAATATAAAAAGCAAAGAGGAAAACTCAATTCCTTCCACTTCACAATAGCTACTATTAACACTTTGGTATATATTTTTTATTTACCCCTAAGTTAGAAATAGAAGGAAATAAGGCTGTGATCATAGAACGTACCCTCCTTCCATTCTCTATTGTAACATACATCCTGTACCAACCTCAAAAATTCCTCATATAGAGTGTTTCTAAAGGCCGAGTAACAATCCATCATACAGATACACCAATAATTAGTAAAAGCTCAGGGAACCCACAGAGCTAGACTTTTTCCTTTAAAATTAAGTGTTAGTAGAAATCTGTTTTAATGAACTAAAAATGGAAATAACCTAAGTAGTCAACAAGGGACACTGGTTAAATAAATTATGGGCCCTGGTCGGCATGGCTCAGTGGTTACAGTGTTGGCCCATGCCCTGAAGAGTCACAGGTTTCCTTCCCCGTCAAGAGCATGTACCTGGGTTGCAGGTTCCATCCTGGCCCAGTTGGGCATGTGCAGGAGGCAGCCAATCAATGTTTTTCTCTCTCTCTACCCCTTCTTTCCCTCCCTCCCTTCCACTTTCTCTAAAGATCAATAGAAAAAATATCCTTGGGTGAGGATTAACAGTAACAACAACAAAAAAAGTAATGAAGCCCTCACACACACTACAAAGTGGTGAACCCTGAAAGCATTACGTCTAGTAAGAGAAGCCAGACACAAAAGTTCACCTATCATATAAGATATCTAGAATATGTATATCCATGAAGACAGAAACTAGATTACCATATTTGCCGGCGTATAAGACGATTTTTTGGCCCTGAAAAATATGCCTCCAAGTGGGGGGTCGTCTTATACGCCAGGTACACTTCAGATAGACTGCCCATAGTGCTTGCCCCGTGCCATAGTGGCCTCCTGATGCCCGCCCACTTCATTCCACATACCGTTCAGGCATCAGCAGCGCTGCTGGGTGTACGCTCGGCTGTTATGCGATTTTGCTGTTATGCGATTTTACCACACTCGCAAAATCGCACACAGCCGACCATACACCCAGTATGATAGCGCAAAATCACGAATCGCGATACCATACTGGGTGTATGGTTGGCTGTGTGCGATTTTGCGAGTGTGGTAAATTCGGGTTACCGTATATTTCTTTACATATGCATTGAATTTTAAAGAAGGC